TTGATGAATAAACATGAATTGTTTTAAATTTTAAATTTATTTATTTATTCAAATCATCAGATCCCTGGATTCTCAGAAAATAACCCACCACCGTATACTGTCATCAATATCGCAGCTGAAGCGCGACTCGCAACGGTCAGCCCAAATAAAAATTATAAATTCACAAATTTAAAAATTAATAAATTAATTAATTTATTAATTTATAAATTTATAAATTTATAAATCCATGAATTTATGAATCATGGGTTCACGCATCCACATTTTGATTCAACGAATTCGCAATTCATGAATTCATAAATTCTGAATTCATGTATTCATGAATTTATAAATTCATAAATATAAATATTTCAGTTCATGAATTTAAAAAATTTTAAATTTAAAAATATATAAACTTAAGAATTTAAAATTTTTAAAATTTTAAATTCAAAAATTTCAACTTTTCTATTTCTGTTTTTCATATTCGCAAGTTTTTCAGGATCCACTGGAAGGTACATAAGACGATAAACCCTAAACCCTAAACCCTAAACCCTAAACCCTAACCCATGAATACACAATTTATTATTTATATTTTATATATTTCCCCCTGAAATGTGCAGAACTGAAGAAAAAAGCAGAGGTAGGATCTGCTAGGAACAACGATGACGAGACGATAGCCACACAACAAAAACAATGAAAAAAATAATAACAACCATAACAACAACAACCCCACCCTTTTTATTCTCTTTCAGCGAAAAGCCCAAATTCGAGTTACTCACGACCTTAACCAGTAAGCCACCCCTTCTGCTGCAGCAGCAGCAGCAGCAGCAGCAGCAGCAGCAAGAGCAGCAACAGCAACGAAAGCAAAATCTCCCCATTACAATATTTTTCTTAGACAAGCGAAGGAAAACTTCAAAGGCTTTCAAACACTCGAAGCCGCCCGCAGAAAGCTCGCAGGCAAGCGCTGGGGGTCCTCCCTTTACAGCAGCAGTATATCACCTGATTAACTTCATCTCTTCAGAACGCATCCACAGGCTAAGAAACACCAAACCCTAAACCCTAAACCCTAAACCCTAAACCCTAAACACTACGGAACAACTCCGGCTGACAGCCAGAAGAATTTCCTGTCTCAGCCAAAGGGGCAGCAGCAACGGCCTTCTGCAAGCTGCATCTGCAACGAGCACTGAGCTGCTGCTGCTGCTGCAGCAGCTGTTGCAGCAGCAGCAGTAGCAGCAGCTGCTGCTGCTGCTGTAACAGCAGCAGGCTCATCTCCTGGTGCCAGGAGAGCTACGGGCCCCGCCCAGATTAAAAACTGCATCGCCCCGCAGCAGCTTTTCATTGTTTGCTGCTGCAGCTGTTGCTGCAGTTGTTGCAACAGCAGCTACAGCCGCTGCAGCAGCAACGAGCGTTGCTGCTGCTTCAGTGCAGCAGCGAGTTGTGCTGCTGCAGAGGCATTTCTCTTATCTTTCCTCTCCGCGCCATTCGCGCTGCATATTTTTCTCTGCTGCTGCGAACGAGATTTTGAAATAGCTCTTTTAATGAGGTCTGACGATTGCCCCTTGAGGGCGCAGCAGCAGCAGCACCAGCAGCAGCAGCAGCAGCAGCAGCAGCAACTGGCTTGCTGTTGTGTTCTTCTACGTCTCCTATCTTCTCCTCTGTCTCCATATCGGTCTCTGCCTTCTTGCTGCTGTGCAGCAGCAGCTGCGAGTCGGCTTTGGGCTCCATAAGCCACTCACTGCGGCTAGAGAAAGTACTCAGGGCTGGCAGCTGCTGCTGCAGCTG